TCCTAGCAAAAATAATGTTATGTTTTTTTTTTCTTCTTCCACAGCATTCTTGGTTTCCTTTTGGAAAGAAAATCTAAAGGGTTTACAATATGCAATTTAAGACGGCTTTTTGTTTCTCCACACTACTACGTTTTTATTGTTATAAAATCCACCGAGTTTTAATGGTACTATGCAGGTAATAAATAAGCACTCTTCATTTTTTAGATTTCTTTCTAAGTTTTTATAATGGCTAACCTGATTGTAAACGGATTGCCCTGTAGTACCATCAAACCCAGCCTTACATCTAAATTTCAGTTTAGCTAGTTCTTCTAACATTGTTATCAGCACAGGAACCTGTGGTGTTGTTTTTTATAGACATGTTGCATTTACTAGCTCAAGCACTCGAAATAGGGTCTCGCAGGTTGCCTAACTTATCTGACTTTTTTTGTACGAAATAAAAGTATTAAATGTTATAAACTTACCTAGTTATAATAAAGCCAGTTTATAAATGCGTTATAAATAACGATTTTTTTAAATTTTTTTCATAAAGCTATACAATTAAATAGTTAAAATAAAAAAACTAACTGCGCATACACGAAGTTTTTTCAAAGTTACTGTTAACAAAAAATACGCACAAAAATAAAAAAAACTAGCGCTTTTATAAAAAAATAAATAAAAATATTATACATGAAACCGCAATTGATTTTTGTGGTTTTAAAAGATACTAATAAACTCAAACAAATGTTTTATTAAGCCAATAGAGTATTACGAATATGTTTTATTATATGATTTTTAAAATAATAAACTTTCATTTTTGAGGTTTTATCCACCACCTGGCCCAATGTGCTTTGTTGCAAACTTCCCCCACTTTCTTTTTTTTTTCATAAATTGTGTAACCCTCTTAGATGGCAAAACATGAGGTTAGGAAGTTGTATGAAAAACCTTGTTATATATATATATATATATATATATATATATATATATATATATATATATATATATATATATATATATATATATATATATATATATATATATATATATATATATATATATATATATATATATATTAGGGTAGAGTGAAAAAATTTTTAGTTGAATATCTTGGTTGGATAGCTATAAAAATTTGCTGACATATGCAATTAGTAATGTGGCAAACAATCAAACGATTTAAAGCATATCTTGAGGTTCCACAATTGACCTGAATTATAGGCATACTTCAAATAAAAAACAATATTTTTTGAAATTTCAAGTTTATATATGACAACATATTTGTGTAGCAGTATACATTTTTAACAGTCTATACGAAAGTTACAAGTAAATAGAACTATATATTTGAAAAGAAAAACACATGAAAACTCTAGTCAAACATGTTTTTATAGCTACAAATGATGTTGTGCTTTAGTGTCCAGTTTCGGCATTTTTGATCTCGATTCCAAACGTGCTCTTATGAATCCGTCGCGTTTTTCTGGACCGCAAACCGCTGGGGAAGCTTCTGTAACTAGCTTAATATGCCTCTCCACCGACTGAGTGTGACAAGGATAGCGGGCGAAATCCAGTCTTGTTGTATCTTCTTCCCGGATCATGGTTAAAAAAGTATCGTCATCAATGTCCATTACGATTGGAGGCTCTGTGATTGGAGTTTTTTGCCAATCGATCATGTCTATGTAACTGGTAGCTTCAAAATTGATTACTAGCACACAGAAAGATGTAACTGAACTTGTGCGCTTCTGCTTCCTGGATTTCATTATAGGTCTCAGAGCCAACTCGCGTATTTCTGATTTTTTGTCGGTAAGCATCGCAAGCAACAGGTTTTCTGGATGAGTAAAAAAAGCGTTGCGTTGAATTACTGGATCAACAACTTTCTTCAGCTCGTCTGTGAGGTAGCGTGATTTCAGTATTGTATTATGGACATGTCGAGCGCCATCTTTACATGAAGAAGTATTTTTTATTTCAAACCATGCTGGTGCATAAACTGTTACAATGAAGGTAACCATTGTCTTCAATTCATCCAATGGGCATCTTGTGGCTATATACAGGCGTAGTATTCGATTAGCCGTTGATAACCATCTTGAATGATTGATAACACCAGGATTGCGAAGTGAAAGGCCTACAGGACAAACGCCAGCACTGACAGCGGTGCACAAGTCAAACAGACATTTTTGATCTGTACTTAAATCGACAGAATATAAACCTGTCGGTAGAACACTGTTTATGGGTGTGTATTTGACAACGGGATGCTTCACACATGCCACCAATGATTTTCTGATTGGACCAGAAAATCCTTTAGGACCATTGGTAGGTCCATCTAGATGTTCGAACAAATGCCTTAACGGTAATTCGTTAGCATGTAGCTGACATACAAACCATTGCAGCGGTTTGATCAACGCCACTTCAAGTAATCGAATGATACCTCCTCGATTGCCTGTATTAGCAACGGTTCCGTCACAACCTTCAGCTTTTATACCACCCAGGTCAACATTCTTTTTACTCAATTATGCAATCAACTCAGCCGCAATAACTTTGCTTGACCCTGCAATTGGTGTAATGTGGCCAAAATAGATGGATCCTGGTTCGGATATAATGGATATATGTTCTTCAGTTGTTAGTTTTCGATGAAATTTCCCATCACATTCTTTAATAAGGGTTATTGTACTGTCTTTTCTTCCATCAAAATATAGCCCAGTGATTGTGTTACTGACATTGGCACATAATGCTCCACGTTTTTTACAACGCTCTCGCCGCACTTTATTTCTGTCAATCACTTTAGAAACATTGCTTTCGTGGATTATTCCAACATCTTGAAGAACAGCACTGGCGATTCCTGCTGCGGCCCTGTCGGATACACCATGTCGATCACATGCTAACGCCAGAGATGGTAACTTAACTCTCATCTGCTTGTCACTTAACTTTCTAAATTGTTCATTAGGATCCGGCATACAATCGTCATCAGATTCGTCATTGCTAGCATCAGTTTTCTCTTCCGTAGAAGGAAACTCCTCACAAACATCTGACTGTTTCTCACTGATGTCATCATTGTCAGAATTGCTGCACATCTGCCTCTGCGTCAACTCTTTACAAATATATCGTTTTTGCAATTTAATGGATTCGGCCTCATCAACTTTAGCAATAATCATACCTCGTGGACCCCGCTGATCTTCTAGAAAATCACGTTCAATTGCAAATATCTTTCTTGACTTTTCACACTGACACTGAAATATGAAAGACCACTTGCAGGAGCAAATGTCAAAGAGTTTTTTGGATTCATTTTTAAACTCAGATATTTTCCCTCGGTATGGTCCGGAGTCTTTTCTAGACTTATATGGCTTCAGCAAATTCATGAACGTCTTGTGGTACTTGTTCAACATTTCTTGGACACGGCGGTGGCTTACATGTGGTATAGAAGCTTTATCCCATATTTGTTCCACTTTTGTTGTCACTATTTTTGCCACATTGTGATGTGGTGGATCTTTATAGTTCAATTCATATTTAAGTTTCTGTTTTGTAATATTGTAAAACTTCATAACATCTGCATAAGTAGGTATTTGATTGTCAGGCATTTTAGAGGAAGCATCAAAAATGACACAAGATACTTTTTTCCTGGGGACAGCCATTAAATATGAATTGTTATTATAAATGAATTAAAGTATTATCTTGTTTTGCAATAAACGCTGTTTGTTTACTCTAGACAGGAAAAACGCACGTGAATACGTATAAAGTGAACAACAATAAAAATACCGGATAGTAAATGTTTATAAATGGTTAAATTTTGAAGTTGGTTGTGGAACCTCAAGACGTTAGCTAATTTAATTTTTTTGTTACGGAGTAATTGATTGTATCACAGAGCAAGTTTTAATAACTATCCAAAGTCGAGCAAATCAAAAATTTTTTTTTTTCACGTTTTCACACCACCCTAATATATATATATATATATATATATATATATATATATATATATATATATATATATATATATATATATATATATATATATATATATATATATATATATATATATATATATATATATATATATATATATATATATATATATATATATATATATATATATATATATATATATATATATATATGTATATATATATATATATATATATATATATATATATATATATATATATATATATATATATATATATATATATATATATATCTTATATTATTATTATTGTTATTATTTAAATATAGTCTATTTGCATGTTTAATTAAAAAAGGTAAAGTTTATTGAATTTAAATGAAATTAAAAAAAAATTAGATTCGTTATTATTGATTTTTAACTTTAAAATTAAACTAGCGCAGTGGAATACAATCCCAGTACTTACGTTGACTGACTTTTGAAGGATATGCACACCGTAGTGAATATACATATTGACTGCTTACCTAGGGATAGGCATAGTGTAGTACAAATACAATGACGAGGGTTTTGGCTTGGGCAAGCAATCTTTTAATTAAAAAAAAGAATAATTTCTTAATGTTTCTTTTATCTATTAGCGCGTTTTTGTTTGTGTTGCGAATAAAAATTTAATTATGTTTAAGTAATTTTATTAACTTTAACTGTAATTGATTAAAAAAATTAAATTGCCTTCAAAATATACGACTTAACTTATAAACATTTTTTGTTTGTGAGAAACTTCATATTAAAAGTCAAATTTTTTTTTTTTTTTTAAACGTGCAAATAGATAGTCAATTTACACGTGCGTGCAAATAGACTAACCTTTTTATTATTATTTTATAAACATTCTTACAAAGTCATGATTATAAACATAAGCTTAGTATGTAAGTATTTTATTTCATTACTGTAAAAATATATAAAAAGTTAAAATAATGGGCCGGGTGAATAAAAAAGAGCAATTGCACACAAGCAATTGCTCTGAGTAAAAGTAAAAGTTTAAAGCAAATGCTCGCCGTAATAGCAATTGCTCAAAAATGTGTAAAAAAAAGTTTTGCTAATGCTCGCAAGCAATTGCTTTTGTGTCGGAGTAAAAGCTATATGTCGTTGC